TTTTAAATATTTGTCGTTCCAGGATACAAAGGCTAATTCCAGCACAATTCCGTTTTTTATTATCAACGAAAAAATTTTCTACTTAAAGACGCTATTGTCAAAGTGCTGCTGTTATCGATATGATAAGTGGATGAGTTTCAGTAACACTTTAGGCATTGGCGTCTCGACAGTTTTCTGTAAGGGATTGGCTTTAATTTTTTTTTCTGGTTCTGGTTCACTTGATTGCAGATCTTTTGTATGATGTATTATCCGAATATTCCTTTCAAAAAATTACTGCTGTTTATACTGTGGGAAATCTTTTGGTTTACATTAACTTTCTTGGAAAGAAGCGTTGGATACAGATATAAGATTGTTATTGTTAAGGTGAAGTTAGTGGAAATGCACAAGTAGCAAATAGGTAATACGACTGCTTTAAAATTGTTATGAATTTTTACCGATTTATTTGTTAGAGAACATTGATCACTTGTACTGTAAAGATGGACGAAGGAACCTCGCTTGCCCACGAGCGTAGTCTCGAAATTAAAAATTCAAGAAAGAGGAAGCATCCACAAAAGGATTTCAACTTTGGAAAATATCCGAAAAGAAAAATTGCCATACAGTTTTTGTATTGTGGCTGGGACTATGCGGGGCTTGTATGTCAGGATACAACGTCAAACACAGTGAGACATTCATCTGTTACCGATTTTACATTTGCATTTTGTACAAACTTTGGAAGACAAGTGTATGCAGTCTTCGGACTGCTGAAGACTTAATATGATATCTATTGTTTTTTTTTCCAGTATTGAAGGAAAGGTTTGATTAATCATCAAAACTTTATACAGTCAGCCTTCTCAGATTATATTGGCTTTTAGACAGTATGTTGTAACCTTTTTTTGCTTGTTTTTATTTCCTTTAATAAGTGGTTTTGGCTCACTTAGGTCGAAGAATATATCAAGAACGCTCTGATAAAAACAAAACTTATAGAATCGTGGGAGGACTGTCAGTATTCAAGAAGTGGTCGCACCGACAAAGAAGTTTCAGCTTTTAGACAAGTGGCGTCACTAATAGTGAGGTATGCTGGGTTGTGAATGCTTTTAGTGGCTTTACCTTCATGAAATTTAGAAGCGCAGGAACACTTTACCTAGTTTCTGAGTAAAAGGCTATTACTTATTCGTGTATGATGGAAAAATTTATTCTGCCAAGGTTTAACTGAAAAAGTTTATACTTTTGAGTTACTTATTCTTCAAGCAACAAAAATACTAAGTCTTACTCGTTAAGTGATTCTTTTCAAACTATAAGTAGGCTAAAATCTGTATTCATATTTTTAGATCAACTGATCTGGACGGTGAGGGGGTTTTCTGGCCTGAAAATTCTGGCAGTGATCGCATCAGTGGTTCAGCTGGTGAGTTGAATTATGTGAAAATGCTGAATGCCACTCTTCCAAGAACGATTAGAATTCTTACGTGGGCTCCTGTTCCACTGGACTTTAATGCTAGGTATCATTGTTCTCAGCGGGTTTATAAATATGGACTGCCGATTACAAACTATGACTTTGAAGTAGGTTAGTCTTTGTTAGTCTTTGACTATTCAGTCTATTTGATAAATTTGTTAAATTTAAATTTCTGAAGTAAATGAGGAAGTTAAATTTTTTCAGGTGTGGAAATTATCTTGCTTGGTTTCTTTGCAGTCTCTGTTTTTAAAACTTTTGGTATTTACTACGGAAGGAAGCTTGAAGTTTCCAGGACTAGGTGGAAATTGTTTTTAGGCTATGCGCAGTGGGTGCAAGCGTTTGATTGGAGAGCATGATTTTCGTAATTTTTGTCATATTGATAGGAATTCTTCGCGACTCGGAATGTCATATGTTAGGACTATTACCGATGCTGATTTAACTTTAGTAGAGTAAGTGAGCTTTGCTTAGGACCATTTCTCGAGCATTCGATTCTACAGTTTCTCAGAATTTTCACACGGTTCGGATTGTTTTTGCATTTTTGTATGGCAGAGTTATTTTTGACGAAACAATTTCAGGTGATTTTTGCAAAAAGTTGGTTTTCAAATTCTTACGTGGTTTTTATTCAATTTAGAGGAACTTATCATTTTTTAAACGCTTCATTAATTTGCAGGTTAGGCGAAAATGAGACTAGTAACACTGTGGACAACAGTTCAGTATACAAATTTGCAGAACTAACTATCAAAGCTTCAGGATTTTTATGGCATCAAATCAGATGTATTGTTTCTGTAATATGTGAAATAGGGAGACGCAGAGAATCTCCTGAGGTCTGGAATTGTTTAGCTACTGCTTTTCTGACGTTCTTTTGATCCTTGTTAGAAGCGTTTATTTGCAAACTCAAAGTTATTTCACTTTTACGCAGATTATAACGGAATTGCTGGATGTTCAAAAATTTCCCAGAAGACCAGCATATGGTTTGGCCGCTGCAAAACCTCTTTATTTGTACGATTGTTCGTATGGCGATACTGAACTGAAATGGAACTGGGATGTTAATTCAGCTCTTAATACTAAAGCTTTACTTTTGAGCACGTATGCTGACTACAAAACGAGGTATGTCTCTGGTTCAGGAATTTTCGTGATGATACAGATGAGTGAATTAAAATGCTTTTCAGATGTTTGATGCTGAAAAACATGGCGGAGGGACTTGGGTCTTTGGTTTCAGATGTCAGTGTTTGTTATAGGGGCTTTGATAACTTTTTGACGCCGAATAGTGCAAGCTCGCATAATTACATTTCACTGAAAAATCGTCCCACCTGTGATTCTCTTGAAGAAAAGCAGGAAAAGGCGGAAAACAAAAATAAGGCTGTTTCGAGTTGAAATTTCTTCTGTTTGTTTCTCTTTAGAAGGATTTTGAGACGTCCACTTGTCAATTCGAATGTGATTTGCTTAATGCTTTGAAGTCTTTGTGATAAATTCACTAATGCTTAGTTATTCAAGTTTGATCTGAAGGGGAATTGGAGTGAGTGTAATATGTTATATTTGCGGTTTTGCATGTGGGAGAGTAGAAGTTCTGGCATTTTTTAGATCATTATTTGTGAACCGTTTGACTGCTCTTATTCTTGGCATGTGTTACCTGCTTCGTAGATATTCTCCAATTGAGAAGTAAAATGCGATTGCAGTGGATCGTTTTATTTGTCGGTTATTTGCTGTGCATGGTATACTATGGAAGTTAATCATAAATAAATGGAACAGAGTCTTACTTGAAATTCTTTGGAACTGTTTGCTTCCTGAACTGATTGTTACTTTTTCAATACAGCCTTTAGGAATCTCAAGGTTACAATTTGTTTTACTGGTTACAAAGGTTTATTTTTTTACTTGCTAGCTAGAATCTCACTCTCCATTTGTTTGTGGTGATGAAAGTTGATAGGTGATTGGTAGTACTTGGGTTAGACTACAGTGCCCAGGTTTAATGAATCAAATTTATGTTGTAGACAGACAGTTTTTGAATTTATTTTACGTTAATTTTTTTTATTTCTCTCGTTTATTCCACCTAATGGGCGGTGGATAGTTAGAATTACGCTAACTCGAGGAAGTTTTTTTGTTGGTCTGTTGCTGCTGCAGTTCATTTGTTTAGACGCAGTCTGGTGGTTCTGCATGTTCGTGATTTGGACGGTGCAAGATGGATGATGTATGTTAATTTTTTAGCTTTATTGTGTGTTTGACATGGTCGGCTAAGTTTGTCCCGTTTAAGCTAGTTCAGCTGTATCGAGATGACCCCGAGTGGGATGATGTTCAGCCAATGCCTCTAACCGATGATGAACAAGCAGCAGTCAAAATTGCTACCACTGATACGTTCAACGATGCTTTTATGTACCTCAGGGCAGTTATTCAAGCCAATGAGCTTTCGGAACGCGCATTCAAGCTGACTACTAGGTACTCGTTGCAAACTACCCTTCTTTTTAGTGGAACTTTTCCTGTTATATATTTTTATTTTAAATTTAGGTGCACTGAATTGAATCCAGCTAATTATACTCTGTGGGTGTATAGGAGGGCATTGTTAAAAGCGCTGAAAAAGAACTTAGATGAAGAATTTCGTTTTATTAGCGAAACTATTGAGGACAACCCTAAAAACTACCAAGGTTCTCTTAATTTCTTTCTTGTTTTGTTCGACTAATCTTTAAGAGGTAAATCTGTCGACTCTGTGTGTTAAATTTTCTGCTGCTGGACCATTCTTTAACTGTTTAGTTTGGCAACATCGGAGGACATTAGTTGAGTGGACAAACGACTCCAGTAGAGAACTTGAATTTACAACACATATTTTGGAAGACGATAACAAAAACTATCATGCGTGGCAACACCGTCATTGGGTCGTCGATAAATTTAAGCTGTACAATGAAAGAGAACTTGATTATGTTACACAGCTATTTTTGACGGATCTTCGCAACAACTCAGCTTGGAATTACAGATATTTTATACTTCAAGGACTTGACTTGCTAAATGTAAGCACATTATTTAGTTGGAGGACCTGAAAATCTTCCAGTAAGCCAAAGCATATTATGCCTTTCAATGGTGTAAACGTCCATTAAAAGTTATTGAATTCATTGATAGGAAGTGTAAAGAAAAATATTTGGCGTTTATTTTCAATTACTTGTAACAGAATAATGCAGCAATTTCAGGACGAAAATACTATTAGTAAGGAGATAGAAATGACGAAGGCTCTAATTAAAAGAGCACCAAACAACGAGAGTGCTTGGAATTATCTTGAAGGCATACTACTGGAGGTTCAAATTGCTCACTACACTACTTTTGTTCACTGTTCTACGTTTTCAGAGTTTCAGGAGTACTGAACGATCTTAAGGGATAAACTTTTGAAACACTTCTGTAGTTTATATAATTATTGTTTGTCTTCATTTTTTTATTGCGTTTCAAGTTTAGAAGGGCACAACCTCACGACCGGATTTGTTTGAGTTCTGTGAAAACTTATATGAAGAAATGAAACCTCCATTCTGTATAGCTTTTATGGTAGACTTCCTTATAGAAGAGATCGAAAAGAAAAATGAAGTACAGGTACATCCTTTTGGATGTTATTTCGTTATAATCTTTATACCGGTTTTTAGTCTTTTTTTAATTATATAATTAGTAGCCTTTCTTTAAAAGTCATGTTTTTTTACAGGGAAAAGCTGCTAGGGCTCTTCAGTTATTAAAGGAGCTATCGACGTTAGACCCTGTAAGAGCAAAGTATTGGCAGTATCAGGAGAAGGTCGTAAACAATCTTGTAACTGCTGATTACGCTCAAAGAGTTTCAGAAATATATTAAATTTTTTGTTTACTCAATTTATTTCAAGTACACTTCCATTTTGAATTTTTATTCTATGTTTTTTGTTCATTGATCTTAATTGGACCATCGTGGCAGAACTTATTACAAGGAGCTTTGTATAACAGGGTCATTCTGTTTGAATATTAGACTTATATCATTGTCAGTGTCGGTTTGAAATGCCTACTTACTTTGTGTACTATGTCTGTTGTTTTAAGTAAAGATTTTCGTTGTGCAGTAACTTTCGTTAGGGCGAGTACTTGTGAAGTTTCATTTGCATTATGGGTTATTTGTAACTGCTAGCGGTACAGGAAAGTAACTTTTATCTGGTTGTTACTTGTTAATCCGCGAAGTGCGGAAGGCATGGTTCTTTGTTTAAAAAATTTATTTTCTAGTTTATTACAGGTAAATGTCAAAGAGGAAGCTTGTTCTTCTTGGGTACCCTGCGGAAGTCATTAATTTTGAAAGTAGGTTTATCTGTAGACTTGATAATTTTTCTTCTTGGTGTAATTTCTACGGCACGAGCCAGAAATTGCTTTGATTTTGGAAGAAGTGGCTGGTATTCTGAATGTTTTTAAGGTTTTTTTTTGAATGGTAATTGTGATAAGTTAGAAGGGCAATTTGTATGCTTCTCGATTTTTCTTTCTTTTAGTTGGAAATGTTAAGTCTCATGTGTCGTGTGGTTTAGATATTTGAGCAGGAGGCTCTTTTAGCTAGTTATTGGGTTCTTATAAGGTTTTGATGCGTAGGATTAAAAAAAATTTTCTCTGTGAAGTTTGGTTGGTAATCTAGTAGCTCTGTTAAGAGGCCATTTATAAGCTGAGTTTATTCTTGAGTCATCTTTTTTTTTCGAGAACCGTAACATCCAGAGTGACAGTCTACACAATTTGGTTACCTGGTAGTATTGGCAGTCAACTTAAATTTAGATGAGGAACATGTACGAGAGCTAGTTTCTTGGCTCGAAGACCAGTTTATTCGCTTGTATAAAATAGATGATCGTAGTGGTCTCCGCAGTGAAGATTCTGAACTTTGGCATAAAGCGTTTACCAAGGTCAGCTTAAGATTGCATTTTTAATTTGAGAGTAAAAGGGAAGTTATGGTAACTTGTTTTTTCTCATTTGTTTTCAGGGTGTTTCTTTTGTAATGCTTTTAAACTACTTTTTAGTATCTAGCTGACTTAAAAAGTCCATTTTCTGCTGATGCTGCTCAACTGAAGGAGGCTATTGACTGGATTTTGGATTTAGCTATAGAGAATCTCTATAATGAAACTTGTACGTTACAGAACTGTTTGATTTTATTATTTTAAAAAATCATCTTGTTGGCTGCTTTTTAGTACACTAAAGGTCGTTATTCTGCTTTATTACTGATAATACAACAGTTCCAACAAATTAAAAGTGTGGTAAATATTATTTATTTAGCAGAAGCAGCTAATCTTACTTCCTCGAACCTTGAGAGGTTGAAAAAGAAACAAATTGAAGCGCAAAAAGCTAATGACCCCATCAGTGCACTGGACTGTAAGTTACTTTGTTAACTCTCCCAGTGTATTTGAATTGGTATCAAAATTTTCTGTATGCCTTTTTTGACTGTCGAAAAATATAAATTTTATAGCTGCATTTTCAGTTCATAGTGATGAATGCAAGAAAGGAATAGAAGACTTGCGGAAACTGCTTGGCATCGGATCTCATCCAGATCCGGAAGTTGTGCTTAAAGGGATTTGTAAAGTTAGTTCTCTGGTTTTTATTTACGACTGAGAAGACTTCCAATGTAACGCATTTATCTTTAACAACTCCTGCCAAAGTTAGACACTTTTAGTTTATTGTTGACAACTTGGGCCAAAAAACAATTGAAGCTACAAACAAAAGACTGTCTACAGAGGCTTCAGCGGTAAGGTTCTTGAGGATCAATCATTTGAAGATACAATTATTGCAACAGTTTTCAGGCTTATTGTTTACTCATTAACGAGCTAGATTTTCAGCCTTCAGTTCAGTTAAATAAACTGGAAATGGGGATGGCCAGTACGAAGAATGGGTCGATTGATGCAGCTGTGCGGGCTTTGCGTCTAATTCATTTAGAAAATCTTCGGGAGATACAAACAGAAATTAATGAAGTTATTGTGGCTATTCAGGAGATCACTGCAGATCCAAAGACGGACAAACGATTAGGGAAAGTTGGATTCTAAATATATCAAACTACATCTGAGCTTAATAACATTTGTAATGCCTTTTTGATTCTTAGTGACTGATTCTTTGTGGATGTTCTTATCCAGCATAAAAGCAATCCTGTTTTGGTTTTTTCTTGGAGTCTCTTCTGTATCTAACTATTTTTGATGATATAACTTACGTTCCTGTAAACAGCTTTCATCACTGCTGATTACAATTTTTTATTGTATATTTTAAAAATAAAAGTTTTATTGCGAGGAGCTGCTAATTCCTTAAATAGCTTTTTTCCTGCAAGAACTGCAGCATCCATATTTCCCCCACTTTATCGTAAATTTTGGCTTAAATGCTGCTTTTTTATTCAAAGAAAAGCGCTTATTTTGAAAATTAAATAAACTTCCTTTAGGACTTCGCGGCTTTCCTTGTAATCCTTCTTGTTCTCATATATCCTCATTTGGAATAGGCTTATCTGTACTTCGCCGAAGAGTCAATGATGAGTTCTTTTTAGGGCTTGGGATGTGTTATTTTCCTTTTGGTAGAACTGCACTAGCTCAAGAAATTTCATAAAGTTTAAATTGGGTTATAATTTGGCAGCAGATTTTCTCTGCATTACTTGCGAGTCGTCTGTTTTGTTTACGGTGTTTCTATTTTCTCCATTCAATGGCTACTGCAGAAACCAGACTCAAACCAAATATACTTATCACAGGATCTCCAGGAACTGGAAAAACAACTCTTGGAAGAGCAGTTGCAGAAAAACTTGGTTTGGTTAATTACGATGATATAATTTGATACCATTCAAGGCTAAATTGTTTATCAGTGGCTTTTGATCTCAAAGAGATGTTTTTTGTTTTTTTTTTTGTTAGTCCGTTTTAGATTCACCTTTGTCAGAATTTCCACTCCAGTTACCATTGCGCTTCAGGCTTTGACTTCATTGAATGTGGGAAAGAAATCTCGGAGCATGAACTTTTTTCTGATTATGATGAGGAACTTCAGTGTCATGTGCTAGACGAGGATAAACTGTTGGATCATATTGAGGTAAGGGGTTCGTGTTTTAGTTGGGGGTGATTCGCTCACTCTTTTGTTCTAGTTTAGTTTTGATTTATCAAAACAAATAGCTCTTATCTTAGGAGCGAATGGATTCTACTCAAGGAGGTTGCGTTGTGGACTATCATGGTTGCGATTTCTTTCCAGAACGGTGGTTTGATTTTGTAATTGTTTTACGTTGTAACAACACTCTGTTGTACGATCGTTTAGCTGCACGTGGATATAATGATCGAAAAATAAGGGAAAATGTTGAATGCGAAATTTTTGGATCGTTATTGGAGGAGGCTAGAGATTCTTACAAGGTGAGTTTGGCAACAAGATTGATAGATTAAATTTCTTAAGATGAGTTTTTTTAGTCTCTTTGTTTTAAAAATCCTGGTTTATTTAATTGCTTCGTTTGGAATTTTTAGGAAGAAATAATTCGAGAGCTTGTTAGTGAAACACCTTCGCAGATGAACACGAATGTTGAAAAAATTGTTGATCTTGTTAATTCCTGGAAGAAGTGACATTTACTAGTTGTTGAGCTCGTGCGTTTAAAATTAATTTTTGGCTGGAACTCTTGTAACTTGGTTTCCTGAGCTGCTACTGAC